GGTCATAGCGTGTGCCACTGCCCGTCTCTACGGCACTGATCCCAGACCAGTGTCATGGGATGTGATATGAGTTAGTTAGCCAAGTATGAGATTTAATCACTTTTACATTTGCACTCTTTCGACCAAACGCTCTGGCAACAAGGTCAGCTCGTGCGCACATCAGGCACCAAACAACAGGTTCTGAGCCCAAACTTGATTTGCTGGTGAATCACTGCTATTGGTGGAAGTCAACCTATCACGACCAAGATGCCGCCTATTACCCTTACCTCCCACAACTTCGCTACTTGGCGTGTGTGGTTCATTGCCAAGCTCCAAACGAAACGTTTGGCGAACTACCTGGTCTGGGATGGCGTTGCAGCTCAAGGAGCAGACGGTTTTGAATACAACGCACTGGACAACCTCCGTGCACTTGGAATCCTCACGGAAAGTCTGAGCGAGTCACAGTACCAATACGTGGACGGCGCTTTGCTGGTCAAGTCTGCCATGGACAACTTGACAGCCATCCATGAGCCGATCGGCGCGGCCGACCGTGTGGCACTGCTTGAAGAGTACCACACTCTGACATGGGACTGGAAGACCGTCCCCCTCGAAGAATTCATCGGAGTTTTTCGCGACCTGACACGCCGCTTGGACCGTGCGACATTGAACGAGCTGCCCTCGTTTCGTGTGACTAAGCTGCTATCACTCATGCCAAAGGAAATGCGCATGGTGAGCCACATGATCATCGATTCGAACGCAGAGTTCCACACTGTGCCCATCGCTGCAACCAAGCTTGTCGCAGAGTACAAGTACCTCCAGAAAGAAGGCGTCCTCAGGATCCGTGGACGCAATATGGATGATGCTGTACTCATCGCACATCATGACCGTATGCCCACATCCGAAAACGGTAACGAACGACGAAAGGCCCGCAACCAGGACAAATGCCACAATTGTGGTATCATCGGGCACTGGGCTCGTGATTGTCGGCGACCTGATGGTGGTAGCCATGCCGGCCAATACAGGCGTGGCCAGCATGAAACCCGGCGTACTCGCGCTGCACATGTGAACGCAGTACGATCAGATTCAACTCGAGATGAAGACTACCTTTTTGCTTTGGATCTCGAGAGTAGTGAGCAGCCATCCTCCCTGCACATGTCGTCACTACCCACTGCATCCCTGTCGTCAACGCACTGCATGGTGGTGGATTCCGGTGCATCGTGCCATATCACAGGAAACCTTGACATCCTGTACGACCGTACTGATTGCGAACGGTCCGTGGTTGTGGCTGACGGACACCGGATGCGTGTTGTGTTAATGGGCAAGATCCGGTTGACTGGCATTGACGGAACTCACCTCGTCTTGACCGACGTACTCTACGAGCCAAGTGTGACCAACACATTGGTGTCCATCTCTCGTATGACGGTAGACAACCCCGACGTGGATGTATCATTTTCGGGTCAAAATTGTTCCATCCACGCCGGCGCTCGACTCATTGCCACAGCGCGTTTTGACCCACGTTCAAAGCTATTCATCTTGGGGGGTAAAACGAATGTCGAGGGAGATGAGTATGTGGGTACTGCTACTGGAACAACGGACCTTACCGAACCTTTGCCCCCCCGAACCATCGATCTATGGCATTGTCGCATGGGCCATGCCATGCTTGACCACATGCGTTGGAACTCGAGACAACACCCCGAGCTCCCTCGTTTCGATTCGAAGTTGAGCTTGTGTGAGTGTTGCCAGACCTCAAAACAGACACGTGCTCCGCGCCCGCCGCGAGCCACACGACACTGGCAACTGGGTGAACTAGTCCACAGCGACATAAAGGGCCCTATGCGGACCTCCACAAACGGTGGCGGCCGATACATGCTGTCCTACATCGAAGACTCGTCTGGCTATGCATGGACCAAAATACTGCAGAACAAGTCCGACCAGGCCGATGCCTTTATGGAATTCCTTCCGTGGTTAGAGCGCCAAACTGGCACAAAGCTGAAGTGCCTGCGATCTGACAACGGAGGAGAATACTTGTCCAGCGAGTTCTCTCAATCTTTGACAACGCTTGGCATCAAGCACGAGACGTCGGCGGTGGATTCCCAGTTCCAAAATGGGAAAGCAGAACGATTCAACCGAACGATTTTCGAGATGGCATTGGCCATGCTTACCCATGCTTCGATGGCCCGGGTGTGGTGGGGCGAAGCAATCCATACCGCAACGTTCCTCCGAAACCGGCTCGTCAACTCAGTCAGCAACACCAAGTCTCCCATTGAACTCCTCCTTGGGCAGAAGCCAAACTTGGCAAATTGGAAAGTATGGGGCTGCTTGTGCTTCCACCTCCTCCCATACCAATCCAAACGGGACAAGCTTCGACCAAAAGCAGTCAAGTGCATTTTCTTGGGCTACTCCGACACCCAGAAAGCCTACCGCCTCTTTGACATCGAGAACAACAAGCTCGTTTTCTCGGTCAACGTCAAGTTTTTTGAGTCCAAGTTCATCCACAACGACACCACGGTAGATTATGAGAGCGACTCCGGTAGTGAGGATGGGGAGACTGCCGAGGACAAAGCCGACGACAGTGGGCCAGACAGCGACCTACCCAACGACAATGACGACGACGATTCCGAAGGCGGAAATGGCGATGACAACGGCCCAGCTGGTTTTGCCCCGAATACCACTGCTCCGCGTGCCCCTGGTCCTGCACTACCTCCACGCAACACGGTCCGTCGATCTTTTGAGAACCTTCTTGGGATTCCAACACGTCAACGAGATGCCCGTGCGACCCGACGAGATGCCGAACGGACACAAAGGGAACGAGACAGTGAACGCAGCCAGCGACAGCCCCAACGTTTCTCTCCCGGCAACGGTGGCCGACCGCGCGACTCCCCCCGTGGACGCGATTTCGACGCACGCGTACGCGATCAGAATCACCAGGAACGCCAAGAAAACGCCCACGGTGCACGGAACGATGTCGAACGCAACGAACCACGTCAAAGTACTCGAGCCCGACGCACGCCAAACCGGTCTGCCGACGAGGGATATGCTTACGTGACAGCCAACCCCCCCGAGTATTGTTACAACATCGGCGATGATGTGCCACGAGGTCACAACGCAGCCATGCGTAGCCTCGAAGCAAGAGAATGGGAAAAGGCCGAGAAGGTTGCCCTCGACGCCATGATCGCGAATGGAACATGGGAAGTCCAGCAAGTGACTGCATCCCAACGATCGCTTCGATGTCACTGGGTGTACGCCAAGAAGATCGACAGTGAGGGGAACGTAACGCGCTACAAGGCGCGTCTGGTGGCAAATGGATCCACTCAAGAACAAGGAGTTGACTACTTTCAATCCTACTCGCCAGTCGTCAAGCTCGTCACTTTGCGCACTGTCATCAGTTTCGCCACGTCAAAAGGTTATCACATGGAACAGGCAGATGCTGTGGACGCCTACCTGCAAAGTTTCCTACCCCTTAATGAGCGCGTTATCATGGACCAACCACCTGGCCACCAACTTGGACCACTGGGGAGTAAACTACGCATGATCCGTCCACTATGGGGACTCAAGCAGAGTGGATTACACTGGAATGTGTATTGCGACGTGGGGCTGAAGAAAATTGGGTTCCACCCGAGCCTCTACGACCCGTGCCTCTATACCAAGACATCGAACGGCAAGGTCATTATTTTGTGCGTGTATGTGGACGATTTCCTGATCGCAGCTCCAACCAAGGAGGTCGTTACTGTTGTCCTTGATGCCATGGAGGGAGCGGGTAAGATTCGTCTCAAGCGGCAGGGCCCACTGCAATACCTCCTCGGAATCAAGGTCAGTCGCACCCTCGAAGGCACAACCCTCAGCCAAGCGACGTACGCCAAAACAGTACTCAAGCGTTTTGGGATGGAGAACTGTTCGCGCGTTGCCACACCCGAAGTCACGGGTTCAGAAGATGAATGGGATGAACCTGGGGAGCTAGCCGATGTCGAGGCGTACCAATCGATGGTGGGGAGCCTCGTTTACCTCATGTCGTGCACACGCCCAGACCTTGCCCACTGCATTCAACGACTCTCCAGATATCTCCACCAACCAACCACAAAACATGTCGAAGGGGCCAAACGCGTGTTACGATACATCCAAGGCACCCTGGACGTCGGTATCACCTTCACACACAACAGCATGCAGCTCCACGGTTACAGCGATTCTAGTTGGGCCCCGAAGCCAGATCGACGATCAATCAGCGGTCAAATATGGATCCTCAACGGAGGCCCCGTGTCATGGCGCTCGATCCGCCAGAAGACCATTGCTACTTCCTCGTGTGAGGCCGAATACGTGGCAATGGCAACCGCCACCAAGGAATGCATTTTTCTCCGCGGGCTGTTGAGCGACTTAGGCGTGGACCAACACAGTGTACTATGCTATGCTGACAATCAAGGCGCCATCGCCTTGAGTTCAAATCGAGTGACGAATGACCGAACCAAGCACATCGACATATGCCATCATTTCGTCCGGGACATGGTACATGAAAAGATCATTCATTTTGAGTACATTGAGACAAAGGCGATGCTGGCCGACGCGATGACGAAGATCGCGACACGAGTGTCGTTGCAAAAGTTGTTTGAAGGCGCGAGAATGACATTGGTCCCTCATGGGGAGTGTTAACCGAGCCAAAAGAACCCAGTTGAAGTTGAGTGACCAAGGCAGCCATGGGCCATGGAGTGTGGTACGATTGCATCCGATGGTCATAGCGT